TCCACGTACAGATTTGCAACAATAGGAGAAACTGGGGATCCCATGGCACGCCCATGTTTCTGCCTGTAATATTGCCCCCCGTACGTGTCAGTATCAGTCACATGGAGGCAGGGCTTAAAAGCCTGAATTTAGCCTGAAACTCTCAGACTGAAGAAGTCTCTTGGAGGAGAGACGAAACGTTTCATTAGAGAAGAACCCGTCCAGAAGACCTATACAATTTTTTTCTTTTTAGCCTGTATATAATTATACTTACAGCTGTAACATATTAAAAGAAATACTGTAAATTTGTAAAATAATGTAATGTATACATTTATATTTCATGCTAAGCACTTCTGGGTGGATGCAAACTGCATTTTGTTGCCTTGTACTTGCGACATGTGCAATGACAAAGTTGAATTCTATTCTCTGTAGAAGAATAAGTATTTACTGTTTCTACATTCGAAGAGGCTTGAAATAGAAACTTAAATCATAAACTTATTTTTTAAATTTTAATGGTGGTGATGCTGTATTTATGTCTCTTTTCTTCCTTTCATTTGACATGATATTTTATCTTGCCCACAGAGATCCCTGTACATTTCTCCATCCCCTGAGCTGTAAAGATGGAAGGCCATGTTCACTGTTTGAMCTGCATTAACCTGAGGTGCATGGTCAGACCGGAACCTGGACTTTCTTGTGATCTCGTTTCATGCCCGCTGGTTTGTGGAGCCGTGTTTCACTCCTGCAAGAGTGACGAGCACCAGCTTCTGTGCCCCATGATGAGGGTCCCGTGCCTTAACTGCGACTATGGCTGCCCGGCCTCCATGATCCGCAACCAGATATCTGCGCATCTGGACGTGTGTCCGGCTGGAGTCGTTTGCTGCACAATGGAGTGGAACAGGTGGCCAGTCAGCAGCTTGGACTATACTTCCTATGAGAGCTTAAGTCGTGTTGTGGAGGAGGTGGAGCAACTGGATATGCAACTTGCCCTCCAGGACCAGCACACACTCCTCGAGTCCCTTAAAGTGATCGCTAAGGCCCCTTCTGTTCAAGAGGAACGACTTGTCCCTGTTAGTAAAGAGAATGARGCACAACGTTTGGCTTTACAACCACCTGCTTCTAAGACCTCTGCGTCCTCTAAATCACCGTCCTCACATSAGTCACAACCAAGCCTGAGAGACACAGCAAAAGAGAAAATCATCAGGGGGATTAATGGCTTGAATGAGGAACATTTCAGTCAACTGTATGAGGCCACAGCTGAAACGGCAAGAAGCTTAGTCGCTGCTTTAGACTTCATTAGCAGTGCCGGCTGTGGTGAGAGCAGCTCAGATTGTTTGAATATCGAAGATGCTTTTATAACAACTGATTTGAGCAACAATGAAGGCCTCGCTAATGAAGGTGCTGATATATTTTACCAAAGAGACRGCGAGGAGGAAAGTGGTTGTTTCAATGGAAACGGGGCTCTTGAAGGACCAGACGAAAAGGTTCAAAACATTGGACCAATGACGGGAGCCTTGGATGACGTTTTGGAGACGACCAAAGATGGCAACGCAAACGTTTCTCAGGAAAAACTGGTGTCCCCAGTTCATGTCAGTCCTGGTGTGGCACAGATTGCTGATCATGTGGTCCTGGACGATGGAAATGAAAGGTTTCACGATCAGTGTTTTACAGTTGAGAGCCAGCTTTCATCTAATAAAACAGCTGTGATGACTGGCCAGCTAYCCTATAAACTGCCTGCCAAAATGGTGGACAAGGCAGTGGATACTTCAGACCTGGAGCAGGGTGACGACCCCATGGGTTTAGCCATGGGTTTAGAAGAGATCGATCTGATCACAGCAGCCCTGCTCTTCTGTCTAGAGGAGTCCAGAGAGTGTAGAAGGATCTCTGATACGGTCTACGTAGACGGTTATCGTGTCGATTTYGGAACACAGACGTTCACGTTCCCTGCAGCCATTTTGCTCACCAACACCCGTGTGGGCGACATGGCCTCCGCCTCCGCCTGTGACCACGCCGCRCCGCAGCTCACCCACCCCAGCCCGTTCCACACCCTCCGCCTCGGCTTGGTCCTCGAAGCTCTGAAGGCCGAAGCGGTCCCGTATAACCGTTACCTCACTTCTAATCCACACTACCAACAAACATTCCCCTTCATCTGYGGCCAGTCGTTCCGCCGGGACCAGTTTTCTTCCCATTTCCGAAACGTCCACGGAGACATTCACGCCGGTCTCAATGGCTGGATGGAGCACCGCTGCCCCCTCGCGTATTACGGTTGTACTTTTTCCCAACGAAGGTTTTACCCAACAACCCAGGGAGCCAAAGTAGTCCACGACCGGCACCTAAAGTCCTTCGGAGTTCAGCCTTGTCCAGAACTAGAACTCCCAAGTGAGACTCCTCAGTTGGATGATTTTAGTAGACTGCCCATGGAGATCCTGCTGCACATAGCTGGATTCCTGGACAGTTTTAGCTTGTGTCAGCTGTCTCTAGTCTCCCGAACTATGAGGGAGGTGTGTGCCAGCCTCCTCCAGATGAGGGGCATCGTGGAGGTGCAGTGGGAGCAAAGACTGTGTCCTGGTGGTCCTGGCTCTCCTGGCACTGTGTCGTGGCAGATTAAAAATAAGGTGAATTCAAAATTTCTCATCATATGTCAAGTTTAAAATGGTCTCCAAAAAATATTATTGTTTATTGTAATATTTTTTCAGAGCAGTCCAGTAAAATTTATCATAACAGGCCGACTTATTCATATTGGTCTAAAACAGGGCTGTCCAAACATTTTGTCACATGGGYCAAAATCATAAAGTCAGAAGGACTTGAGGGCCAAAAATATTTTTCCTTTACCTGCTCAACAATAAAATAAACATAGAATACTTTAATTAAACAAATAAAGTAATCGGATTTATTGCTGGAAATGGACGTGTAAATTAATCTAGATCC